TCGGTTTCACAGGTATCTCCATGCTTCTCTAGACTGGCTGGTGAACTTCTCCAAGACTTGTCTAACCTTAAAGAAAATCAATTATACTGAGTTTAATCTGTCATCTTTACACGTTACCTCTCGTAGGTGGGTTAAATTTAATTGCAAACAAAGAGAAAGACTGATTAAAAAAGCCAGCTGTTTGGCAGCCATTATTAGGGGGAAAATGCTATTTCGACTACAATTCTTGGATAACAATTGCCGCCTTGACAGGATTCGTGTTTATCCAAGGCTTTTTAGCTGACAAGTGAACTTCGATTAATATTTCAACTGAATTTAAACCGTCGGTCTGTGGTTTTTTTTCTTAACATCAGTTTTTCGCGAGTGAAATCAGTTCGTGGTATACTAATCTTGGCTGTCATGCTTGTTGACGTTGGTGTTGGCTGATGTATAAATTGTCTTGCGTGGAAATGTTCACAAGTGTTCATTGTTTGATCGGACGGCGCAACTGTTTGTAAACTCTTCAAGAAAGTTAGAAACAGTTAGACTCGTGTGACAGATTTTAAGTGGAACCTTCTGTTCTCTCATCTTGAAAAACAAATCACCTATGCAATCAGGAAGGCAACGCCGCGGAGGAAGTCGATTAACAAATGAAGTTTTACTTTTAGCTAGAATTTTGAGAACAGCTGGATGTGTCTACCGTCTCTTACGGCGCCATATATATCATCTCTGCCATAACGTCAAATTCCAAGTAACAACTTAAATTATTTACCGCCGTGGTTTTCGTTCTGGGACCACGCAGATTTTGGTGACTTCACGTCAAGTTGCTTTGCAGAGGACGGCTATAAATGTACAGCATCGTGTTAAACCGCTCGTGCTGCGCTATTGTTCTGCCAATTAGATCTTTTGTTTTGTTGTGTCCTCGTTTACCGTCGCCGTCTTGTTTTGCTTTTGACTCGTGACTTCTGACAAAACAAATATATGTCACGCTTCCGTTTGGCCTGTTTGTTAAGCCATCAAACGAAGTTATTATTATTATTTTTTACTTTTTAGTTGATATTTTCAGGTTTCCGATAGAGAGTCATAACCGCTGTTCAATATTTGACTCAATTAAAAAGGAAAGGAACAAAGTCGAAATTTGAAGATATAGACATTTGCAGTTATTTCTCAATCGGCATTAAACTTTCCTTGAGAAAGTAACAAAGTATAGTGGTAAGCTTTTCATGGAGCGGAATTTCAACGGCAGAACGCGGAGGAATCCAGAATTTCTTTAAAAAGAGAAGCTTTATATAAACCGTATACAAGTCTTTACAAAAGCGCTCAGACATATCTTAATATTCGGACGTAACACAAAAACTCTCTCGATTAAGAATATCAAAGATATAAAAGACATGTTCCACTCTCGTCCTAAGATGAAAAATGATGATTGACAATATCAATTATAAACAAATTAATAGCGAATTAAGTTTTTAAGCAAAACTCAATCAAAGAATCATACGTTTTGGATTTAAGTTCTGTAAGAGAGTTTTCTTGCTACACCCAAACTTTGCAGTCGTCAAAAAATAATTTACTGGGCTTGAAACTTTGTCGCTGCTTGTGTGAGGCCAGTGTAGTATATGTGCATCAACGACCAAAACTTATAAAATCAGATAGATATAAAGAACAAGTAAATTTATAACCAAGCATAACTCCCGTGGCATACCTTTGTACAAGCAACTAAGGCCTCAGTCTGTTCAAATCGCTTTTCTATTGTTCAGCTCTGCAGTCGTTCTAATCTTTTGTGAGTAAAACGAACTCTTTTTAACCAGTCAAGGCGGAAAAAGCAGAAAGCAATATCTTTGT